AAAAAAAAAAAAAAAAAAAAAAAAAAAAAAAAAAAAAAAAAACCAACAGGGATTTACACTCTCCTCATTCTGGAGGCAGAAGTCTGAGGTCCAGGCATGGCAGGGCTGCGTCCCTCTGAGGCTCCAGGGGAGGGTCCCTCCTGCCTCTTCCAGCTTCTGGGGCTCCAGGCCTCACTTGGCTTGTGGCTGCATCCCTCCAGTCTCTGCCTCCGTTACCACATGGCTTCTCCCCTGTGTCTATGCCCAAATTTCCCTCTCCTTACAAGGATGGCAGTCACTGCATTAGGGCCCACCCTAATAAGCTCTTCTCAACTTGGTTACATCTGCAAAGACCCTATTTCCAAATAAGGTCCCATCTACAGGTACTGGGAGTCACGACTCAAATATGTCTTTTTGGGGGGACACAATTCAACTCAGTATGTCTAAGCCCCTGGGGGCACAGGTTTTGGATCTTGGCCTAGGTGTGGCTGGGCGTCTGGTCTGCAGTTGTGCTCAGCTCACACTGGGCATTTCTGATCTGCTCCCCACCCCACAGGCCCCCCATCCCTGCTCCACGTGCACGAGATCACCTGCCCTGGGCCTGGTCCCTCACGCTCCTGGGGCAGACACAATGTGGGAATTGTGGGCGTCTGCTCCCTACTCTGTGGACTCAGGGGGACCTGTCCTGTCTGGGAGGGGGACATGTCCTGGCTGGGGTTGGTCGTTGCATGGACGTGTGACCCTGTTCTGGCCAATGAGATGTGGCAGGGGGGCTCCCGGCTCATGGCCTATTCAGCCAAACACAGGTGGTCCGTGGTTCTCCCTCTTCCTGCAACCTTGCTCCCCCTTCCACGTAATATGACATGCTCACAGGTTCTGGAGGGCAGGGTGTGGACTTCCCTGGGGGACATATTCTGCTGACCATGACTTCCTTGCTCCTAAGAGGGAGGCCCCGGAAAGATGGTCCCTTTCTTCCTGTGGCTGTGGCAGCTTCACGATGCAATGTCCGGAGCAGCCGCAGCCACATTGGTGCACATCTGAGGACGAACAAGGTGTGGAAGAGGGACAGAGTACAGATCGGATCACAGGGGATGGAGAAGAGTCTGGGTCACCCTGCACGGGGCCCCTTGCTGCCACATTGCCTCACTGTGCACTGCGTGACGCTAGGTATTCAGATGCTCACTGGGATGTGGTTCACATCTCACCAAGACCGCCGTTCCCAGCTTCCTTCCACTCAGCGTGGCTGTGGGACTGTGTGGCCGCGGGACTGCATGGCCATGGGACTGTGTTCCTGCCAAGGGGCTGTGCCTTCAAAAGCTTGAGCCCTGGAAACTGCCCGATTCCCACGAACCAGGGAACAGACAGCTGAGTCGTGGCATCTGCTCGGGGGAACAACCCAGCAGTGACAGGAACATGGGCGAACCTCACAGGCATCATCTTGAGCTTAGGCAGACGGACAGGAAAGAACGTAAATACCCCAAAATTCTATGTTTTTAAAGTTTGAAACCAGATGAAACTAACCTGTGCTGTTTGGATTCAGGACAGTGGTTATTCTTGGGTGGGGAGTTGGGGCCGGGGGGAGAAGTGGGGGGCCTGTTTCTTTGCCTGGGGGCTGGTTACACGGATATGGTCTGTTGTGAAAATTCATCAAGCCCTGCATTTATGACAGGTGCTATTTTACAACCAAAAAGTTAAAAATTCACAACACAACAGACCAAGACGAAGGGGTGTGCCTCCCCTCCCCCTCATCGGAGGCTGGGCACGACTGCACATACCCCGACTTCTCTTTAATAAGCCACTGGCCTTTTGGGCCTTCGCTGCAGCCCAGATCCCAAATGCCCCAGTCTGTTGAGGTCTGTCCTTCCCCTGCCAACCCCAGAGCCCTTTCCTGACACACAGGAAAGAGCCGCCCCACCCCATAGCCAGCTGTCGCGCAGAGAAGTCTGTGGGCGCTGGTGTGAGCTTCCGCTCGGACCCCTGGCCATTCCTTGCTTTTCGGGTCTTGCCACTGTGGGAGAATAATAGACTCTCCTCACCAGAGTCAGAGAGATCAGACCCAAGAGGAGCGTCCTCCTCAGGGCCAAACCTCCCTCAAGTGCAAGTGCAGGAGCTTTTGCTATTTTAGCGAGAGCAGATGGCATTCACTTCATCCTACGGTCCTACGGATGGGACGTTCCACACCAGGGCTTACTGACACATCCGTCTCTCTCACTTGGAGGTGACTCTGTCTCCTGGGACACTGGGCACGTCTGGAGACATCTGTGATTGTCATGACTGGGGGGTGCTCCTGGCATGGAGTGGGTGCCGCAGGGACACTGCTCAGCACCTGCAGTGCCCAGGACGCCCCACCACGGAGGAGGATCCCCCTGCTATGTATTAATAAAAGGCACAGCAGATGGGGAGCCCCACACCGCCTCCCGGGGCTCCTCTGAGATCGCAGCGGCATCGGATCCACTCGGGTCCTTTGCTGTCTTCACCACCCGACCTCAGACTGTGCGGGGCGGCGGGGTAGGAGGGCTGAGACCCCTGGTGCTGACTCCCTCCAGCTCGTTCTCGACGCCCCTCCTCCGCCTCCTCAACTTGGTGAGAACTTAATTTAGTCTCGGGGTGAGGGTGTGGCAGGGAAGCTTTGCTCATCAGAGAATGTTCGTTCCAGCATCTCCATAGGAACTGGACTGTGCTTGGGCCACTGGGAAAGCGTGGATTTGGATACGTTGCCTCCCCGGAACTGCCCTTCCCCGCAGCAATGGATGCGCCTGGTCCCAGTGCCCTGCAGCAGGAGGGCCACGGCCACCACCACGATATCACTCAGCACTTGTGGGTGTTGCTCCTCACGTGTCTGAGGCTGGCTGCCGGGGCGACCCGGCCGTGCCCCGAGAGGAACCAGCAGGGCTGTCTCTCTCACCTCGTTGTGTGTGTCAGAGTGAGGCCTAGGGGTGGGGACTGCGTTTTGCTTTAGGGAAAGATCTCCAAAGTCATAGGACAAAGGACATGGACCCAGGGAGGGATCCATCCTGTGATCAATCTCTCACAGTCACAAAGTTTTGAGAAATATGGCCTGGGGTGGTGGTGGGGGCGCTGGGGGGTGTCAAATCTATTTTTTAAATTTTCAAATTTTTGTTGGCAGCTGGCTGGTCTGGGGATGGAACCCTGGACCTTGATGTTATCAGCACCCTGTTTTAATCAACTGAGCTAACCTGCCAGGCCTACTGCAATTGTTAAAACACAACACAGACTTGCCGCACACAAAGGGATTGAGGGTGTAAAGTCATGCTCAGCGCTCCCTTTGGCAGATTAAACTTCTGACCTGGCTGCTGCTCCAAGCCACCCGTCCTTGCCTGCTTCCTAGAAACATCGCCCTGGTACGTGTCCCTCTCTTCCCACTGTGGGTGGCAGCGCCTCTGAAAACACCTCTGACCCCTACCAAGAATGTGCTAGTGGCTGCTCGCGGTTGCTGACCTCACCCTGTGGGCTTCTGGGATCTATGGGAAGCCCTGCCGTCACCTTGACACGAGCCCACTGAGATTGATTATTTTGGACTTCTGACCTCCGAGTTGTAAGGGAATGTTGTCTCCACCCCACGCCTGTGGTGTTTGTTACGGCGGCAGCAGGAAACTAACACGGAGGCCCCCACGTGCCAGGCTCTGCTGGGAAGCTGGGCCCGTCAGGCAACATTGCTCACCTCACAGACGAGAGGCCCACGGACTGTCAGAGCCAGCACCTGACTACAAACTGCCCCGAGAAGCCGGGAGTCTGGGGAGCGGTGTTTCCGTGTGAGCAGGAGGCATGACGGGGCCGGGGCCGGGCAGCGTCCGTCGGGGAAGAACACGTGGCCTTTGCACTCCAACTCCTGTTGTTCCTGTGTCAACTCTGCAAATGGAAAACCAGTACAACTTGCCATAAAAAGCAAGAAAGTGTAAAGCTAGTGGGTGAGTTTGAGGAGGGAAAACAAGGTACGTTACTGTGGAGAAACCTGGAGAGGCCACCTGAATCAAAGGGTCGAAATCAATGTCACCAGCGAGCAGATGTCAGCGCCAGGAGGAGGCTGTGGCGTCGGGCCTACAGGACTCCTGCAAAGCGCACAACCTCAGGCTAACCGAGGAAGGATTAGAGACCCGAATGGAGGCAACTTCTATAAAACAACCAGCTAGTACTCTTCGCAAGTGTCCAGGTGATGAAAAGCAACACAAAGAGTTGTTCCACAGTAAAAGAGACCAAACAGACCCATAAATATACAACATTTACTTGGACTGGCCCCTGGACCACGAGAAAAATAGCTATAAAGGACATTATTGGGACAACCAGTGACATTTAAATAAGAATTCTTGTTTAGATGATGGGATTAGTCCATTTTAGTTGCTTTTCAAAATATCCAGAACTGTGTAATTTGTTAGAAAGCGAAATTTATTGCTTACAGTTTCGGAGGCTGGGGACTCTGAAGTCCAGGGAAGACATCTGGTGAGGGTTTTCTTTGGTGGCGGCTTTACAGCAACACAGGGGTCTCACATGGCAGAAAATGGCAGAGCGGAGGGACAGACTCTCACGTGCTCTCCTTTTAAAGCCTTCAGAAGCACGCCCCTGACCGTAATGATTAATCCATTCACTAGGACTTGGTACCACAATCTTGTCACCTCTTCAAGGCTCCAACTTTCCATCACCATAGCAGGATTTCCCACCCTCTTTACACTGTCACAGTGGGGGCCAAGTTTTGGGGGACATCAATCCACAGCAGATAGTATTGAATCAATGCTATTTTCTTCTGATTTTCGTAACCATGCTGTGGTTATCTACAAGAACATCTTTGTTCTTAGAAATACGCCTGCAACTTAGCTTCAAATATTCAGGAAAAAGACCCACACAGACAGAATAACAAAACCACACGCTAAATGATCACAGCCAGTGATCTGGGTGAAGGATACGTGGGCGTTCTTAGTAGACTCCTGTAATTTTTCTGAAAAGTTTGCAATTACTTCTAAACAACAACAACAACAGTAAACACAAAGCCAGAAAGCTGTGCAAACAAACGCTGTCGAGAAAGAATGCGGCTGTTCGAGTCCTGCGTCATGGCCTGCCCTGCGCTCGGGTCTGCTCCCTCCTGGTTAGGAAGAGTGAACCACGCTGGGGAAGCTCAGCTCCTGTTATTTAACCCTGGGCCTTGTCTTTCACTTAAAGGCACCTTGAAGAGACCCTCCTTTGGGAACATTCTGTAGAAGGTGGGAGCCACAGAAGGTTACTGAGCATAGTTGTGGCTGGACGCCGGGAAATTGATTTAGACCCAGGAAGGCCCCGCTTCACCCAAAATCTTTGTTCAGTGGCATTTCCCCTCCACACCAAGGTCTTTCTTTCCTCACCACTGAATTTTGCACATGTGGCCCCAGCTGGAGGTGGCCCAGCACTAAATGGTCTCACTTGGGTTTGTGTCCTGTGCAGTCTTGGGCTGATGACCTGCCTCTCTGAGCTCGTTTCCTCCTCTGTGAAATGGGGAGAATGCTAATGAAACCTATCTTGAAGGACAGACTGGGGAGGACTCAGGGAGATGATGCTGAACCCTAAGTCCCCCCGCCCTGGCCCCGCCAGTATTAGCAGCGGCCGAGGTGGGACCAACATGCCCTTGAGTGGGGCGGCATCTGGTGGTCACTGCTGGTATTGCTGCTTTCTCCACTGGCGCTGAAGGACCTCTTTGGTTTGTTCAGGATACTGATTGAAATTCGGTTCTGGGTGCTGGGAGTCCTGGCATGAACGAAGCAAGCATAGTCTCTGCCCTGTCGGAGCCTGTATTCTAATGGTCTAAAAAGACAGTAAATATGTTATTTTTAAAAGAGGAAGATCATGATAAATCCTATGCAACAAACAAAGAAATAAAACCCCCATAGATTTAAGTAGAAAAACAAGGAAGCCCTGCTTTCGACAGGGTGATTGGGGAAGGCTTCTTGGAGGAGGTGATATCCAAGGTAAATCTTGAAGGAGTCACCCATATGAAAAAGGGAAGGGGGAATTCCTGGGGGGAAAACAGCAAACAAAAGGCCTGGACGCAGCAACAAGACTGGTGTGTCACAGAAGTGGGGCCAGCTCGGCTGTGGGGGGAGAGGGGGATGGTGGGAGCAGATGTGACAGATCAGGGGTGGGGTTTGAACAGGGAGGGGGAAGCCAGGGCAGCAGACAGCAGCGGGTCTCCATCCCACAGCAGGAACCTGGCCGGGACCCACAAATGCTGAGAATGGGGCAGGTGCTGTGTTTCGGTTTTGTATCACTGCATGACAGACAGCCTCAAGTGAGTGGCTTAAAATAACTATGGTCTCTTATTTCTCATGATTCTGCATTCTGGGCTGGACTCAGCTGGGCAGTACTGTCCATGGAACGTCTGTTGGGGCTGAGTGTCCAGAATGCCTTCTTCCTGCAAACGTCTAGGCCCTCAGTAGGGATGGCTGGAGTCTGGCTGCTTGGGCTTCCTCGCAGCATGGCAGCCTCCGAGTATCAGACTTCATCCATGGTGATAGCTGCCACGTGGCAGGAAGTGGAAGTCCTGGAACATTGCCTCTGCCAGCTCATAGGTTAAAGCCATCCCCACCCAGATTCAAGGGAGGAGCAGACAGTGTTTGTCAGGTGTTAAAATTCACCAAATGAATGGATGTGCAACGTGGCCTCGTTACCACATCTTTGTCATTATCGTCTCTGATTATTCATGACTCAAGTGTCTGTTCGTGTTTTCCAGACAACCTCCCTCCTGCCCCCCCTGTGAAATCTCTTCTGTCCTTTTGACTATTTTTCACTTGGTTTATCTTTTTTATTTTTATTTTTTCACTATTTACAGGAGTTATTTATTGTGGCTACTAATTAGCTGTGTATGTGACAAATATCATCTTTCAATTTGTGGCTGGTTTTCCATTTATTAAGGTGTGTTGATACTCAGACGTGCTTAAATTCAATATGGTTGAGGGCTGGCCGGTCAGCTCAGTTGGTTGGAGCATGGTGTTATAACACCAAGGTCAAGTCCTATACCAGACAGCCACCAAAAATCAAACCGAAACAAAAGCTTGATATGGTTGAATTTATTGGTCATGTGTGGTTAGTACTTTAGATGCCTCGTTAAAAAAAAATCCTTCTCTACCCCAAGGGCAGAAAGGTGGTCACCTTAACTTTTTCTGTAAATTTTAAAGTTTTGTATTGGTGTTGGAGTTTAAATCCTGAATCCACTTAGAGTTGATTTTCATGTGTGGTATGAGATAGGTGTGGTAGGAAGAACTACACCCCCCGAAGATGTCCACACCCTAATCCCTGGAACCCAGGAACACAGGAACACGTCACCCTACCTGGGAAAATAGAGTCTGCTGGTGTGTTAGGTTAATGGCCCTCTGCTCCATGGGCTCTCAGAGCCCCACACACCCCACAGCCCCTTTCTGGTTCCCCTTTATTTTCTCCTGAAAGCATCATACATTCAGAAATTGCCACACTGGCTTTGGCCCCTTGACTGTGAACGTTTTTGCTTTTCTATGTGCCTGAGCAAAAACAGACCCTCCAGCTCTCCTTCTAAGGGCTGGAGGAGCTCTGCCCCAGCCACCTCTCCCTGGTCCCCCATGAATGCTGCTGTAAAGACAACCAGCTGTTACTCCACATGTGCAAAGGTGCGTGGCCCAGGGGGAGCTTCTGGACCTCCCTGGAGCTCAGTGTCTGCATCCCTACTCGGGGCTGCTGACAACCCTCCCCTAGGACCGTAACGGGGATTAAGTGAGTAACAGACTGAATGAGCCCCGAGCAATGCCTGGCACCTGGTGCGTGGTCAGTGCACGGTGCATGCTGGACATCGCTAGCTGCCAGACTTCACCTAAGGTTAGGAGGCCTCATGGCCAGCTAATATCAGCAAGGCCAGATTAAGCAAATTCCCCCCCTCCCCTCCCTTTCCCTTTTCTGCTCCAGGACTGAGCAGCAAAATTCCCCTCCTGGGAAGGGGTAAACATGACCGTTATCATCAAAGGAATGTCTTGTGGGCTGCAGGAGCCGGCTTCGAGCTGGAGCGCTTTGCACTGATATAGTAATGGCACTAATTAGAAGCCTGTGCCCTGACAGACCAGGTGTCAGCACACTACAAGGGCTGTGTCACTGTGCACACCACTGATTTAGAAATTACCCATTACTCTGCCAGAACCCTCAAAGGCTTATAACCCCCACCACTTTCCTTTGTTTGGGGGAATGGATCTGGCTCAGTCTCCCCTCCACGTTAGCGGAATAAACTTTTTGGCTGAAGTAGCACTTGGCTCGCGTCTCTCTCTCTCTCTCTCTCTGTTCTCCGTCTCGCCAAACCTAACAAAGGTGAGGTAGGTTTAAGGAGCGGCCTCGTTCTGAACAAAGATTTCTCACAGAGATTGCAACAGTGACAGGTTCCTCTGGTTCCAACAACGTGGAATTCATCCTATTTTGTAAAAGACACCTGCAGATCTTGGTCGGATTTAAGAGGGAAAACTAAATCAGAGTGCAAGGGGAGGGTTTACCAGACATCAGGCCACTAAAGGGAATTTTCTGAAGGTCTCCTGGATTGGACCAAGTGCTCTCGAAGACCTTTCTGCCTGGAATGCTGGTGAGGCCAAAGCATCGGGGAGATGGATGGGAACTGGAGGGGGCTTTGTGTGCCGTCAATAATGAGCCTGGCCACTCACATCTTCTGGATGGCCAGACCACCGAGGGTGATACTTGGTCTCCAGGGAGAGGGGCTTGGCCCTGAGGAGCTGCCTGTGCACTGGGGACAGAGCAGGACTTGGGGGTGGGTCGGGGCTGGGCAGGAGAGGGCCCTGGGCTTGGGGAGCCCAGAGGCAGGAGGGACAGTCAGTTCTCATTCCTAAACTAATCCTGGGATGGGGTTGGAACCCCTGGTGAGCCATGACCAACGGGATTGACTCCTGATCCAAGCAGAAGTGGGTTCTGTCACTAAGACGAAATGTCGGATAGAGTTGGGCACCAGCCCTGAGCCCTGAGCCCTGTGCCCATATTTTCTAGGATGGTTGGCTTCTGTAGACAGTGCTGGGAGTGGAATGTGGCAGGACATTCTCCTGTTGCCACAGTAACCACAGATGCACGTGGGTGTTGAGGGAACAAGGTTGAGGGTCTGGGGAAGGGACCTGGCACATGGGGGACCACTGGCAAAGTTCACTCAATGACCACATCTCTGGGCCTGTGGATTGGTCAGAAAAGGGGCAGGATGTTGACCCCCTCAGTCTCCAGAGCTCCGTGTACGGGAGCCAGAAGTTCGAGGACCCTACATACCAGGACCCAGACAGTGGGGAGCTGGGATTTGAGGAGCAGGATGAGGAGATTCCCCCTGAGGAGGTGGCCGGGGATGAGTTCCTGGAGCCCCAGAACCCAGAAGAGGCTCCTGCCAAGCTGGAGAGGGCTCTGAAGAGAGACTCAGACGAGGGTGTTCCTGAAATGAGGTGCGCAGTGGGGAGATGGGACCTGCCCGGGCCTGGGTGGGGCGGGGGCTCAGGCAGCACCCAGGGGACAGCAGCAGTGCCCACACCTACCTCAGGCCCCTGTGAGGGTCCCTAGATGTGGGAAAAGGATTTTTGCATTGGCCATCGGTGTGGCTGCTGCTGGGGTCCCTGTAGGCTAGTGTAGGTGTGTGAAGGGGTGAGATGGGGCCAGCACCGCTCACTGGCCTTTGAAGCAAAAGTTGGCGAACACAGCCCTATCTAGGTGGCAGGAGGTGGAGTAAAAAGCACTGATTTTGGAGTCGAACACACTGAGTTCAGATGTCAGAGCTGAGAGGTTATGAGTGGGTGGCCCTCAAGTCGGACAGAGAGAAAAAGAAATTGGGAAAATTCTTGCAATTCTAAAGTTGAAACCATTCTAAGCATCGCGATAGCAAGAAACTTTAAAAATGGGGAGGAGAAACATGTATTGGGTGAACGTGTAATTTGGTGAACTGAGCCTTTGAGGGGAGTGATTTTTGCAAGTGTCCCCTGTAAAGGCAAACACTCCTGCTGGGACTGTGCACCTGCCAGTCCCAGACGAGGCGCCTCCCTCCTTTGCTTCCTTCACTGGGTGATTCCAGCTGCACACGACAGACAGGGGTGGGTGAGGCAGGAGTGGGGCTGGGGGCTCACTCCCCTCTGCCCCTCTTTCCACCGGTGCCATCTCTCAGGATGTGGAGGGACATCTGCCTCCCTTGCGCTAAGCAGCGTGCTGGCGTGAGAGACAACAAGCCTATGAGCAAAGACGTGATGTGGCAGGTGGGGCAGAGAATGCATGCCAGGCAGAAAGCAGAGCAGGAGTGAGGGGGCTTCAGGGAGGACACTAGAGCCATGCTGACTGAAGTAGAGTGACAGGCAGGTGTCTTAGCGTTTCTCATTCTGTTCGTGTCATCGTCTGGGGTCCCCCTGTCTCCCACAGCCTACAAGCTTCCTGGGAGATGGGAGTTGCTCTCTTTTAGGTTGGTCTGCTCTCTGGGGCCTGGCACACAGTAGGTCCCTGATAAATGTTTGGGAAATGAGTAAGTGTTACCTTCTGTAGTCATTGCAGCAACCCCATGGGTAGGAGCTAGTCCCATCTCCACTTCAAAGAGGGGAGAACAGGCTTGGAAAGTCAGGTGACCTGACCAGGGTCACACATCAGAGAAGCACATGCCTTTATGATGACAAAATTCTCCCCAGGGAGACTCGTAGAGGGAGAGGAGAGTCCCATGGGTGGGTAAGCGCAGAGGAAAGGTGCTTGGGCAAGACTGATGCTTCTCCAGGCTCCCAAACATGTTGGGGTGGAAAGGCGCCTCCAACCCCAACATCAAATTCTCCCAAAGCCGGCTGTCCATCACCCAGAAGTTCCCAGGCACCTCTGCACCCAAACGGAGGAAGAGGAGGCGGCTCCTTGAGCTGGCAAAACCCAAGACCAACTGGCAAGTCTTGATAGACAGGTGAGGACATTTCAGCTGGGGCTCCGTGGAGGTGGGGGCTGAGCTCCCAGCGGTCCCCACTTCATTCTTCCCGGGGCCCCTCTCCCATCTGTTACCACGTCCAATAAAGCTGGGGCAGGTGGAGTTGAGGCTGTTGAGGAGGCTGCTGAGGGAGATGTGAAGTCAGGGAACCAGTGGTGGGGACCTGGGGAACGGTGGCCCTCGGTGGCCCTCTGGGTGGTGGCCACAGGTGAGAAAGGAGTTTGGGAGTGAGTGGGAAGCCCAGAGCAAAAGGCAGGGGCTGGAGCCCGTCTCACCGCAGGACGGGATGCCGTTGTAAGGGCTATGCCTGGATCTCCCCCTGCAAGACGAGCTTACACTTCTGTCTCTACTGGTGAGTCGGCGTCTCCCGGCTCCTCCCTCCACCTCCTGCCCACATGGGGGATATGCCAGCTTCCAGGGGCCCCTTTCCCAGAGCCAGTCTTCTCTCCAGGGTTGAGGATCAGGGAGGGAAGGGCTGTAGATGGGGGCCCTTTTCCCCAAGGTCATTCCTGACTCTACCCTTTTGCTCCAAGCAGCTGTGCGGTGGGCCTGCTCCCTGTGGGTGGCCCTGGGCCCTCTTCTTGGTGCTGCTTTTCCCTCCAGCCATGCTCAGATAACTCCCGTGTCCTGCGGACTTAGACTTGCCTCCTTGCACGGCCCTCTCCCCACGTCGGAGCTGCTCTCCTGGGCCCTGAGCTTGAGTTTGGGGCAAGGCACAGGGCCCGGGCCTCTGCAGCCCTGTGCCCTGAGCTGCTGCTGTATTCCAGGCCCTCCGTATACTGGACTGAGCGGTTCCTCGAGGACCCCTGCCTCACCGTCACGGTGCCTGGTATGTGGGCCTGCCACCTGCCCCAGGGAGGCCTCTGCTGGCCCCACTCCCTCCAGAGACCCTGCGATTCTCCTCCCATCTCCCAGGGTTTCCTCTCTGGACTGTGTCCCCTGAGGGACCTGAGCCCACTGGAGACAGTTCTGGGTTTGAGGGGTACAGGAAGAACTCTCCAGGGAGTCCAAACAGGGGCCGGTAGTTAGTCTGTAAAGAGACCTGCTCCTTCCCTCCATGATGGTTTCCACACTTTTGTGAGAGCCGTGGATCCCTTCAAACACAACCTTTCAAGAAAGTCCATTGTGGAAGGGAAGTAACAGTGCATCGAGTCTCCAGAAACTCTAGGCCGGTGCTAACTTCAGGCCAAAATCCACTTTCCCAACTGGGGGGTGGTTGGACCCATACTGGGCCCTGCTGAGGAACTGGGGCCTGAGCCCCCATCCAGCCCTGACATCCCCATCCTGTGTGCCCCTGATCCCATGTCCCTGAAACAGGGACATCAGAAGGCACCCCTCTGCAGGGTGTCTGGTTGTCTGGTGCTGGCCATCTGCACCCCAGTCCTCAAACTGTGCCTCCTGCCCCAGGCCGTGGACAGCTGAATCCAGCATGCAGAAAATCCCTGGGGGGTGGGCAGTTGTCTTAGTTGGGGTTCCCCAACTCGCACTGACTGGGCTGCTTCCCGTTCTGCACAGTGGTGTCCCCCCGGGTGGAGGAACTGTCTCGGCCCAAGAGGTTCTACTCGGAGTATTTCAACAGCAACAGGTTAGGGAAGGAGGGTGAGGTGGGGCACTCCGAAGGCAGAGGTTGGCAGAAGACCTCTTTTCCTTCCCCTGAAGGGCATGGCATGGGGGGTGTCCAGGCCTCGGGCTGCAGACCCTGAGCTCAAGCTGGGCTTTTCCACTTGCCAACCCGTGCGTGGTTGTGGAGCTCACACACCAAAGGTGCTTAGCCCAGTGCCGGCCATGGTGAGCGCTCAGCTGTCTTTATCGCCATCGTGACTGCATTCTGTTGACTCTCCAAAGGCAGAAACTGTAAGACACATTAGTGTTATATGTACGCGGTTCTTTCTCTCCACTTAGAACCTCCGTGCTTGTTAAAAGTGGACTTCAGAGTGACTTAGACACAAATTTTAATTACCTGCCTACATGCATACATGTAAAAGAAACATGGCTGGAATGAACAGCCGGAGTGCCTTCGACTGTTTGGATTGCTCTCTATCAGAGATGCTGACGGGGTGATCTTCCACACACTGTGTTCAGGCCTGTATTTGTACACATCAACTGTCTGTTTTGACACTGACTCACTCTGTTGTCCGAAGACAAATTAAACTGCAATGAAACTTAACACCCGTAGAACCAACAAGGCACATAACTCGATGGAAATGATTTCAGTGTGAACAGCCACGTCTGAGTGCACACAGGCCAGGACAACCACGGAACTTCCGCCATGTGGCCGAAAGCTTCAATGAGCTGCATTCCAACCTCAGACATGTTAACATGTAGAGAGCCCGCCTTAGAATCAAGAACGTGCTGCTTTATTTCTGCGGCAGAGGCATAGCTGAGACCGGATTTTAGGAGGCAGGGGCCCAGCAGGCTCAGTCACAGTTCTCCCCCCAGCTTTTCCTGGTAACCACTGGGTAAACACTGTTGTGCCTTGGGCCCAAGTCCTCACCCCAGGCTCCTGATGATGGGGGTGTGGGGACAGGGTCCTGGAGGAGCTGTCACCACAGGGGGGAAATGGAGAGGACTGGACCTGAGGATGGCCACCACACACTGAGCTGGGACGCCCTTGGGAGAGGGTAGCTCTGTCCTTGACAACTCAGGAGGGTTTCTCTTGGGGATTCTTTATGAATCTGTTCTTGGAGGTGTTTTCAAAACTCTCCACTTTCCCCAGATTCTCCCTGATCCCAAGAAACAGAGATGCTGCTGTCAAAGAGAGGACACACACACACACAGAAGCACACAGACACATTGTCCCATCTGAGCTGCTCTAAAACGTGCATGTCCCATAGGACTACGCCCATCTGGCCCATTCCTCGGTCCACCTTGGAATACCAAGCGTCTAATCGCCTAAAGAAACTGGCCACCCCGAAGGTCCGGAATAACATTTGGAGCATAAGCATGTCCGAGGTAGGTGACTTGCGCTGCTCTGAAACTCACCTCTCCGCCCCCGAGTGGCTTGCCTTGGGGCCATTGTGACAGGTATGTAGTAGTTTCTCATTGTGGGTCTAGTTCGTTTTTCCCTAATTGTATATTGATGCATCTTTTCATGTGGTTGTTTGCCAGACCCCACTTTTTAAAAATTTTAAAGTAAGCTGGCTGGTTAGCTCAATGGGTCGAGTGTGGTGCTGATAACACCAAGTTCTGGGGTTTGTTCCCTATACCAGCCAGCCAAAAAAACTAAAAAGTAAATAAAAATTTTAAAGTAAATCCAGACATCATACCATTTCTTTCGTCCACGCTTCAGTACGTACTTCTAACCAACAAGGGCAATCTAAAAACACAGTCACAATAACAATGACCGCACCACAAGACCAACAGTGATGCCTCACCTCAGTCCGTGTTCTGTCTTCCCATCCGTCTGAAAGGCGGCCTCTTATGGTTGGTTTGGCTGAATCAGGTTGGAAGCGAGGGCACTGTCCTTGCAGGCTCTCTCTGCTCTCGCCTTCGCAGCCCTCACCTGGAGGTGCCCTGCCGCTCTCCTGGCTTCCTGCCGAGCCTTTCCGGTGCAGCCTTCAAACTGGCTGCTGACACCCTCCCTCCTGTGCAACAAGACCCTCTATGGGTTCCCCCCACCCGATGTTCCCTCTTTATCTAACTAAATGCAGACCCCTCACCAAGCCCCCAGGCCTTTGCACATGCAGTCCCCTCTGCCTAGGACATCTTTCCCATCTACAGCTAATCGTCTGTACTCAGGACTCAGCCCTTTCCGGCCCAGTCCCCCATCCGAGCCTCGTCTGAGCAGGAGCCCCATCTCCAGACTCTGACACTCTCACATGGTCCTTTGCTCCCTCCCAGCCCTCTCACACGGTGGTCCGTGGGCCGACTGCTGCATCTGCCCTTGGCCTGTAAACTCCCTGAGGGCAGGGGCTGCTTCTTTCTTGTTCATGGTGGCGTTTCCAGAGCTTGCCTCGCCCTGGACAGGGCACAGAGTGGAACCCAGGGAAGGGCAGTCAGATGAATGCGTGGATGAGAGCGTGCTGGCCGTCCTCCTCTCCAGACTGGGAGCCCCTCGAAGGTGGGACTGAAATCTAGCTTTCCCCGGCTCAGCAGCCAGACCCGGGCTGTGAATGGGCAGGGAGATGGAAGACAGGCAGGAAAGGACTGTTGAGTGGGGGGTTATATTGAGAACACCCGGTTGTCTGCTGAGAGTGGTGTCTGATTTTCAAGGAGGGTAATTTCAGGAGGAAAGGTCCCGAAATCTCACAGTGACCCTGGGAGGTCATTCATTCCATCTTCTGCCTCTGAGCAGGCTCCTGCCAAAGTCACACGCACACTGACACAATCACAAAACCTCCCAGACCGAACAAACGTGAACACTTTGGCAGGTTTGCTCCCTTTTCAGGAAGGAAACTGTCCAACCATCGCCCGCCATGCCTCCCTCCCTGCCCAGAGGCATCAGGAAAGCCCAGTGAGTCTTCCAGCACTAAAGAATAAGTCCAGGGACAAGCCAGAGGCATTTGGAACGTCGTTCCGCCCACTCTCGTTGTTTTGTGGGTAGATTGTTTGCACACGTGTGAGGCCAGCTGGGGGCCGGTCAGCAGCCAAGGTTAAAGCAGGTGCACGTGAGGGGTGGGAGCCGTGGGCCGCAGGGGACAGGGAGTCTGGCAGGGAGGCGAAGTGAGCAGCCATGGCCTGCACAGCGCAGAGGGTGCGCTCTGAGCAGGCTCGCACAGAGCATCGAAAAACATGATTTTGGATGAGTGTGGATCTTCTGGGAAATGCTGAGAATTTGTTTTTGGCACAAACATGTCAGGTTTTCCAGAGAAAAGTCTGCCAGGGTCTTGCCACCATGACCAGCTTGGCCTCATTTCCATCATTTTTATACTTCACATAAACAGGCCCTTCGACCTTAATCTTAGTGTTTTGTGTTTTTAATGTACATAAATGGCATCTTCCCCTTCCTCGTTTTCCCTCTATTTATTTGCTAGAGCAATCCATGCTGACTTTTTCATTTTTGCCAAATTTGTGGGCATGGAGTGATATTTTCTTGTTTTAATCTACATTTTCCGAGGGCTGGCCAGTTCTCTCTGTGGTTAGAGTGTGGTACTGATAACACCAAGGTCCAGGGTTCCTGGAGTGGGCCAGCTGCCAAAACATAAAAATTTAAAAAAAAAAATTGACATTTCCCTAGTCCACACAGAGCATTACTGACCATTTAGGTTTACTTCACTATACCATTTGCCCAGTTCCCTATTGATTTTTGGGGTTATTGATTTGGAGGAGCTCTTTACATATGATAGCTACTAATCCTTTGCAGAACACATTACAAACTAGCTTTTTCCCTGTTGGTTTCTTGTCTTTTATGTATGTACTTATTTGCAGCTGGCTGGTATGGGGCTATGAACCCTTGACCTTGTAGTTATAACACCGTGCACTAACCAGCTGAGATAACCAGCTAGGCCTCTTGTCTCAGTGTTGCTTAGGGTTTTTTTTTTTTGTTCTGACCCATGAGGAACCATGGCTGTCTCACTGCCTCCCTTTACTTCTGTTTCCAGGTGTCCCAGGTGTCCAGGGCGGCCAAGATGGCAGTACCCAGCGCACGGATCCTCCGGCTGGCAAAGCCCAGGGCCCCAGCCACCCTGACGGAAGAGTGGGACCCCATGCCGAAACCTAAGCCGCATGTGTCAGACTACAACCGTCTCCTGCACTTGGCCAGTAGGTGGACCCCCCTGGGCACATTTTGGTGATCTGTGTCCTTTCCCCCTGTATGTGGGGGTGCGGTGGGCATCACAAGACTTGGATGTGAGGCCTGATTCTGCCAGATTCGTGCTTCCTTCTTCTGTCATCTCCTCTGTAAACTAAAAACCAGTTGTCCAAATCCCAGTGGACGACTCACACCTCGGCCTGTGCAGAGGGGACCTTTCCCCAGGGTGTGTGGTCCAGAAACACAGGGTGCTGTCTGAGTGGGTCTCCTAGCAGGGAAAGTGGGTCCGGAAGAGACAGTTGGGGCACAGGGGCTGGAGAGCCAAGTGGAGGTGGCTCCCAAGGGTGGCTTGAAGGGGCTGTTGGCCTCATTCCATTCCTGTTCCTTAAAACAAATGAAGCTGGCCGGTGAACTAAGTGGTTAGAGAGCGGTGCTGGTAACACCAAGGTCCAGGGTTCACCCCTGCACCAGCCAGCCTCCAAGAAACGCACAAAAAACAAACACCCATTTTTCCCAATGTCAAAAGTACGTATACTACGCGTAGAGATGTGGCAAGTGCTGAAAAACATTAAGAAGAAAGTAAGTCTCAGAGATGTGCTCATGCTCGAACTCCGGGCACTCTGCCAGGAGTCCCAAGTGTCCCATCCCCGCACCCACATCTGACCTGATGGGCAATCCTGCGAGAACACTGGAACCCTCTGCAGTCCCCACTGCTGGCCCTGTCATCTGCCCCGGTTCCCAGCCGCCCTCACCCAGCCATTTCCCACGTGGCAGCCAGAGGGTCTTGACACACGTCAGTGGATCCATCCCTCCTCTGCTCACAGCCCTCCCAGCACCCCGCCTCTCTCACTGCACCCCACAGGGCCCTTGTGGTCTGTCCCAGCCCCCTCAAGCCCACCGGCTGTTCCCTCTGCCTGGAATGCTGGTGCCTGCACACCCCACCTGGGGAGGCCCCTCTGAGTGCCTAAGTTCACCCCACAACCTGTGCCCCTCTGGGCACCGTTGAGCCCCCCCCATGCTGTTCTGCTCACTGTCTTTCCATAGCACCATCGTCCCTTAATATACCCAGCTTATGTGCTCATGTGTCTGTTCATGGCGGGTGTTCTGTTAGCAGCCAGCCCAGAGGTCACAGGCGTTTTCACCATTTATCCCCCGCTCTTGGCACGTAATTGCCAGAGAGGTCAACTGGCCATGTAGGTTTACTATTCACTATCATTCTCCCAGCTTCCTCTTTCCAGGTTTTATTTTCTTTTTTGTTATTGATTTGGGGCCACTCTTTATATAAGATGGTTACTAACCCTTTGTTGAACACATTCCAAAACAACTTCTCAGTCTGTGTGTCCTTTATCATTGCTGATGGGGCCTTTCGTTTACTCATTCATTCATTCATTCCCTTAACATTTGCTAGGTGAATGGACACACAAATACACATGCACCACCTTAGAGCCTCCTGTGTCTCTCTCTCTCACCACAAATGCAGACATCACGAGTATATGTATTTACACATCTGTCCATACACACCTGTGTATACAGGCTTCACATGTACATACAAATACACATCCGTGTTTGCGTGTGTAAGAATGGAGTACAGGTGTGTCTTCTACTTTTTTTTGGTAACCATTATTTTTAAAAATTGAAAGAAGGCCTGGCCAGTTAGCTCAGTTGGTTAGAACGTGGTGTTGCAACGCTAAGCTCAAGGGTTCAGGTCTCCACGCTGACCAGCAACCGAAGAAAACAGTGAGGCAGGGGAGAACTGAAGCCTGTGCGAACCAGCTCAGGACAGTGCTGTTCCTCTGTGTGTGCTCACGCACGTGCTCTGTGGACTTCACCATTAAGTTGTGACCAGCAGAGTTTAAAAGCCCAGACGCTCCAGCGATGGAAATGCTCCTACAGTCCCGCAGAGGAGTTCACACAAGGCTGGGCGTGGGGTGTGGTCCTCCCAGCCCCCGAGGTTTGGCACCTCTCTCTGCACAAGGACATCTGCCCAGCAGGGCCACTGTCCAGCGGATGTCCTGACCCTGCGTGTGCCATGTGGGGTTCTACCTGCCCAGTGGGAGGGCTCCCCAGAGCCAAGGCCTATCTGCCAGGAGAGGGTGGCCTTGTCCATTGCACAGAGGGGTTTGGAAAGGAGGCTGCACCTCCCCCCAGAACTGAAGACCGGAAGCCCTCAGAGACTGGAGGTGAGGGCAGCTTGTCTGCTAAGGCAGGCCAGGGGCTGCCTCCCTTCCTGGCCTCCAGGCAGGTGGAACCATGGCTCCCTCTGTAAAGGAAGGGCTGGGAGAGATGATGAGGAGGGGGCTGTGCAGGAGGGGAGTCAATGACAGCCAAAGGGACAGCCCACCAGGTGAGCACAGTGGGGACACCAGCCAGGGGAGGAGACCCCCTTGCACTCCCTAACCGCCATGACATCAGAAGGAGGGGCATAGGGAAGGGCAGACCAAGCCCCCTCCTCACCCTGGCCATCAGGGCCAGCTGGTTTGGTGGCAAAGTGGGGGCACCTGAGCTCCCTTGGCTGACCCCTGAGTCCCCCTTCCTGGGACCTGTGGCCATTTGAAATCTTTTTTCTTTATGCCTCACCCTTTTATAATACTGCATTCTGACCAAATGAGCTAACTGGCCAGAAAATAATCTTTCTTTTTTTGGTGGCTGGCTGGTACAGGGATCCAAACCCTTGACCTTGGTGTTACAATCCACCCTTTTAAAGTGTACATTTCAATGGTTTTTTGCATATTCACAGAGTTGTGCAACCATGACCTCTATCTAGTTCCAGAATATTCCATCACCCCCAAAAGAAGCCCTGTTCCCATCAGCAGTCACTCCCATATCCTCCCCCAGCCCGCGGCAACCACGAATCCACTTTCTGTCTCTGTGAACTGGCCTGTTCTGGACATTTCATGTAAATGGAGTCACACACTGTGTGGCCTTTTGTGTCTGGCGTCTGTCACCGAGCACGACGTATTTAAGGTCCATCCACGTGGTAGCGTGTGTCAGAACCTCGTTCCTTTTCAAGGCTGAGTGATGTTCCCGTGTGCGGATGGACCATGCCGTGTCTGTCCATTCTCTCTCCTGGAATGTGCCATCTCCACTGGGGAAGTTGAGCCCCAGCCCTATCCCTCTCTCCCGCCCACTCTAGTGCCCAAGACCCTGTCGGACAAGTGCGTTCCTGACCGAGATCCCCGCTGGGAGGTGCTGGAAGTCACCAAGAAGGCAGTGGCCAGTCCCCGGATCATCTCGCTGGCCAAGCCCAAAGTGCGTGCGTGCCTCAATGAAGGCTACGACCCCTACCACATCTCCCCAGCCTCCCTGGTGGCACACATGTCCCCTCGCCTCTACGAGCTCGCCACCCCCAAAAGCATCACCAAAAAAGTCTGACCTGCCAAGCCTGGCCTCTGAGACCTCGTTCCAGTAAACACCCAAGTGCATCCGAACACTGCGTGTGTGATTCCTCGGAGCTGGCTGGCCTGGGGAGGGAGCGCGTGGGGGGCAGGAAGGCTGAAAGGAGGGAACAATAATATTGATTTTTGCATCCAACCTGCAGTTTTGTGCGCCCTTTTATTTTCCAAATCACTTTCCTCGACCATCTCAAGCTCCTTTAAAGTCAGACTTCAGGCCCCTCGACTTCAGAATTTCCGAATCGCTTTTGCTTATCCAGCCACCTCCCGGGTGTCCAAAAGCACCTCCAACTCAGCATCACGTCCGTGACAAAACCTGCTGACACGTATTGCGTGACTTATTGATCTTCACAGTGACCTGAGGATGAGGGACTGTAATTATCCCCATTTTATAGATGTGGAGACCGCGGCTCCCAGTGGTCAGGAAAAGATCCACAATCGCTGCCATGGTCTGAATGTTTGTGTTATCCCCAAAATTCACATGTTGAAATCCTCACCCCCATGGTCTTAGGAGGTGGGGCCTCTGGAAGGTGACGAGGGGTCTGGTGTCAGCACAGGTGCAGGTGTCAGCAAAGAAAGGAATGTGTGCACTCACCCAGAGAGAGGAGAGAGCAGGGACAGGAGGGCCTGGTTCCAACGTTCAGTAGGCAGGTGGTGAAGGATAATCCTGCCGCGGAGATGGAGGCACCTGCAGGGAGGCGGAAGGAATGCCGGAGGGGCAGAAACTCAGAAGCAGGAGGTGGCCTGCAGCGTGGGTGCTGCTGAGAGGCAGAGGTGAGCAAGGGCTGAACAGTCCCTGCTTGCAGCCCACAGAGGTCACCAGGCACTTCGGGAGGTGCTGTGGGGGCAGGTGACTGTGGGCTGGGGACAGGAAGACGGAGGGTGTAGACGATTGTTTCCAGAAGTGGGTCACAGAGAAAGTTGCGGAGGTAGATGAAGAGGAATGTGCAGTCAAGGGAAAGCTTCATTTTTACTGAATGGAAGGGAAGAGACCCTGAGAGACAGAAGAGGGCTGAGGAGGGATTGCCGCGGCCACCCAGGGGTGGGCGGCAGGCATGGGGGACACGCCCTTTTTTGTAGGGAGAGGGCGAAAGGGCCGCAGTCACAGGTGAGCTGTGTGTTTGGGGTTTCTAACAGGCATTCTCACATTTAACACATCAGAGACAGAGTTCTTGATTATTGCCCCCAGTGCTCACACAAACTGTCCTCCCTGCACCTTGCCCATCTCAGCAAATGTCACTACCATCTTTTATTGAGAAATAATTCACAGGCCATAAAATTCACCTCTTTAAAGTATACAATTCGGCAGTTTTCAGTACATTCAGTTTTGCAAACATACCCCTCTCTAGTTTGAAAACATTCTCATCAGCCTAAAAAGAAGCCCCATCCCCATCAGCAGTCACCCCCATCCCTCCCCCAGCCCCCAGCAACCATGACTCCACTTTCTGTCTCTATGGACTGGCCTGTTCTGGACATTTCATGTAAATGGAGTCACACGCTGTGTGGCCTTTTGTGTCTGGCATCTGTCACTGAGCATGACGTGTTCATGGTACCATCCACGTGGTAGCGTGTGTCAGAGCCTCGTTCCTGTTCATGGCTGAGTCATATTCCAGTGTGTGGATGGACCATGTTTTTTTTTTTTCCTTTTCTTTTGTCTTTTTTTTTTTTTACTGACCAGTAACGGGATCGCAACCCTCGGTGTTGCGCCCGCACCGTGCTCAGCCAGTGAGCAGATGTGGCCGCCCCACCCCCCTTTTTTTTTCCTTTTTGTCTTTTTTCGTGTCCGGCAACAGATTGCAACCCTCAGTGTTGGGCCTGTACCGGACTGGGACCGGCAATGGGATTGCAACCCTTGGTGCTGCGCCCGCCCCTCGCTCAGCCAGTGAGCGGGAACCGGTCTGTATGTGGGATCCGAACCCTCAGCAGGAGCACCGCCATGCTCCCAAGCGGCGCACTGTATCAGTGCTCCACCGGGCCGGCCCCAGATGTGGCCCCTTTTAATTCACCCATCATATCAGCAAAAGATGGAGAATACCCAGTAGTGAAAGGGGGTGGGGGGTGAATGCTGTCATATTCTGTTGACCGGAGTGTAAGTCCGCAAATCTTTTCTGAGGGCAACTAAGATTTCCTATCTACATAGTGATCACCCCAACAATTCTAGATAATCCATTTCTTTTTTTTTTTTTTTTTCCTTTTTGTCTTTTTTCGTGACCGGTAACGGGATCGCAGCCCTCAGTGTCGGGCCCGTACTGTGCTCAACCAGTGAGCGGAACGGTCTCTATATGGGATCCGAACCCTCGGCGGGAGCGCCGCCACGCTCCCAAGCGCCGCACTCTACCGAGTGTGCCACCGGGCCGGCCCTGGATGGACCATGTTTTAATGATCTATTTACTCATCAGTTGATGGGTGTTCGAATTATATATTACTTTCCTAAGGCTATCATGACAAATCATCAAAAACTGGGTGGCTTCAAACAACAGAAAATTATTCTGTCACAGGTCTGGAGGCTTGAAGGAGAATCTTTTCCTTGTCTTCCCCACCTCCTGGTGGCTGCCGGCAGCCCTTGGTGTCCCTTGGTTGTGGCTGCATCCATCCTCGTCTCTGCCTCTATCTCCATGTGGCCTTCTCCACATGTGTGTCTGTGTCTCTGTGTCCAAACAGGACACGAGTCTTCAGATTTAGGGCCCACCCTAAATCCATCTTAACTTGATTACATCCACAAAGACCCTATTTCCAAATAAAGTCACGTTCTGAGATTCCGGTGGACAGACGTTTTTGGGAGACGCTATTCAAACCCATACAGGCTGTTCCCACTGCTTGGTTAGTGTGAAGGTCACGACCATTTTGCAGCTAACCTTTCTGGAGTCCCTGCTGTGGTCACAATAACCCAGCCAGAGAGGTCGCGGCAGCACCCTGCACAGCACCCAGGTGCTCAGACTGAGGAAAGCCCTGTGCCTTCTTTCCCTCGCGCCCACACCCGCCCCATCAGTGCTTCCAAGGCCACCCCTGTGACCACATACACACGACCCTCATCTCTCTTGACCGTCCCGGTGTCCTTGAAGAGGTGGGATTATGTTCCCTGAAAAATGCTTCTTTTTTTTGTCCTTTTTGAGACCGGCTGCACCGCACCCAGCCAGTGAGCGCTGAGAGCACACCGGTCTTCCCTAGATAGGATCCGAACCCGCGGCGGGAGCACTGCTGCGCTCCCAGCACCGCACTCTCCTGAGTGCGCCACGGGCTCGGCCCTGAGAAATGCTTCTGAGAGTGCAGGCTGTGCAACACCAACCTGTTGGAGTGAGCGGGACTGAAGACGCGGTTGGGATCTAAAACCGCCTGCGCTGCAGGCAAATTTATAAAAGTCATCGTTCTTTTTTTCTTAGTATGCATCTCTCCAAATTCCCTCCTTTCCTTGGTTATTTCATATTTTGAACCTTGTTGTGGGGCAAAATGACACTATTTACATGAATGTAAAGTTGTTTTCCAGCCAGCCTGAGGCTGCAGACTTGCAGACCTTGGGAAACCAAGGAAGATGTCAGTAAAGCTGTGCTGATTCCACCCCTCCAGCAGGACCCTGAGGTGACAGCAAGGACAGGAGCAGAAGCCAGGCGGAGTCTCAGCGAGACTTTGCAGCTGAGACCTTGCATGAAGTCCCTGCTGCTCTCGTGCCCTCCCTCCTGCTTTTCATGGCCCACGTTCCATTCCCTCAGCCCCCTTTAAAACCCCTCAGTAAACATGAGTCTGGGAGGCGGCTTTAGTGTGGCCACTGTCCTTCAGGTTTACCGGAGAGATGGGTCAGTCCAGCATCTCTCCTCAGGTCACCAGGATTCCGGAATAAAAGCTGACGTCCACTTTCACCAACATTTGGCTTTTAGGTTGTTTGTTTCCGTTTGGGGCAAGCAGCCAGACTCGGGCTAAGTAACAAACCTTTTTCTGCCCCTCCAGCGCCAGTGGCTTGGGGTTTATTTCAGAGGTTCCCGTCCACCTGGTGGACGCCAATGGTGCTTTTCCAGCTATTCCATGTTCGTGCACATCCGTACCTCTGCCTGCCGAGGCCTCTCAGCTTCAGGGCTTTATCTGCTCGAGCCTGTGTCCCGCTGTGCCACCACGCAGACATGTTGGGGAATTGACACCCCTGGGAGCAGCCCTCAGTTCAGGAAGGGGTCGGGGATCAACTCCAGCACACTCGCCCCCGAGATGGGGTGGCTCCGAGCTCCCCAGGGGCGCTGCCCAGGGGCAGTCTCCCCTCCCATCTCCCGTCCCCTCCTCCCCATTCCCCAGCTGCGATTCCGTGCACCCCCCCACCCCCCCCAGATAAATGACTTACACTCAAATCTTTGTCTTGGGTCCGCTTCCAGGAAAATGGGAATGTCAATGTTGGCACAGCACACTTAACATCCTGCTTCTTTCATTCTTTGCAGACCATTGGAAAAATCGTCTCTCATTTCCTCACACCCTCTAATTCTGCCATGTGCAATTTTGTGTCCTCTTAGGAAGCTGCTGGGGTTACTAGCACAGGGTGTATTTTCTGGACTAACGTGCACAATGATCCCTGAATTTGCTCCCGGAAGGTAGACCATGCATCTACGAGGGAAAGGTGTCTCTGCAGATCCCCCACAAACACCTTCCAAACCCCGTTTACAAACCACAGTTGCCCGATTTCCATGTTTCTCTAGATGGAGAGAAACCTGCCCTCTGGTCCAGGTAGAGAGACAGGGGCTGCGACAGGTCTCCAGCACCTCCTGGCTTAGCTTCAAGGAAAAATATCAAAAGGAGTTGGGTCACATCCTCCTGCTCAGAAAGGCAGCCCTCGGGGTATGAAGTGTGGGGACAGGTCCCCTATCTCGCAGGGGACATACATAACCCTCCAGGAACCCCTCCTCTGGCCCTGAGCAAACAGCGATGCTAGAATAGTGAGCGGGACTCAGCGGTGTGCAGGGAGACCCTCGGCTCTTTTCCCTGACGCTCGGAAACGTCAGAGATAAAGAGGGAAATGTGGACAGGTCTGAGGCTGGGGGCA